CTCTACTATTCTACTATTTGAGCCACAGCTCCACTTCTGGCTTCTTGGTGATTAACTGGATATTATCAATGAGTTTCCTGGATTGACTTTGAACCTCTATCCTCAGATCTCAGCCTGAGTAGCTAGGGTTATAGTTGTGAGCCACAGGCATTACTACAATGTTTTAAAAAACCCATTTGACTTTATAAATAACATAACATTTAATGTTATGAACCAAACATTACATTCTCATGTTTTTAGTATTAAGAATAGACCAGGGTGATACATGCCTATAAATCCAACTACTCAAGAGGCAGAGATCAGAAGGATCATGATTCAAGGCCCAGCAGGGCAAAAAGGTAGTAAGATTCATCATAACAAACAAGCCAAGTATAGTGGCTCACATCTATCTAAGGAGGTATAGATAAGAGGACATAGTCTGAGATCAGCCAAAGTAAAATGGGTTTGAAGCATGCCTCAAGTGATGGTGTGCTTGCCCAGCAAGCAAAACACCCTGAGTACAAAAACCCCAGTAATATCAAAATTTTTTAAAGAGGGAGGCAGGCTTCGCCTTGAAATCTAACTCATTTATAAACTGTAGGAAATTATGCAAAGGAAATGAATTCCAAAACCTATCAATAGTTTTGCATTGGGTGTTGGTAGACAATAGACACTGCTTCTGTTATCCTGTGGATGGTGGTATGAGGTGTGCAGACTACCACAGTTCTAACCAAGAGCTACTCTACAAGCAAGAGTCCTCAGAGATTTACCTGTTTCCTTCGGGCAAGCTCTTCCTCCTCCCGCCGTTTCCTCTCTTCCTCCTGCTGCCTCCGAAGCATTTCTTCCTGTTGCCTTCGGAGCTCTTCTTGCCTCTTTCGTTCCTCCTCTTCCCGTTTTGCCCTCATTTCCGCCTCTCTTCTCTCCTGCTCTAGCTGGGATTGTATAAGAATATTCTTAAATACATGGAATAACCCAAAAAGGACTAAGTCAAGTTGTCACAGAAAGTAGGAGGTAGAGACACTGTCATTAGCTTAGCTACTTTTGTGTTACAGGTGGGTGATGAAACCCTATGTTAAATAACTACTACAGCTGTATACTCTTCTACACTTAATGCTTCTCCTCTCACTTTTGATCATCTCCTCACTTCACACTACATTGTATCGTGTGTGTGTGTGTGTGTGTGTGTGTGTGTGTGTGTGTGTGTGTGTGACAGCAAGTGTCCAGTGACAGCAATGTCAGAACTCTTCTGGGACTGGTGTTTTTTTACTCATCATTACAAAGATTTTTCTGACAGAAGATCTAGCAGTGGTGGCTACAAGGTATTAGCACCTATGTAGTAAAGCTGTCAGGAAGTAATAGCAATTATCAGCCTCATCATTCCTAAATCTAGTTTCCTCACATCTAGCTTTGTCCAAGTTCCTTAGCTTAACACAATCTCCATGAAAAACATTACTCTATTCTAAAAATAAATGCTAATTCCTTGATATAATAAACACAAGGCTCCTTATAACTGGCCTGCCTCACCTTCTTGAGTCTCTTCATTTTTTTTCATTTCTCAAATGTAATTTCCAAGCCAGACTCATTTTATTTACTGTTCTTTGAGTTCAACTTGTTCTCACACTTCTAAATAGTTCTCAGGCTGAGAACGTAGCGTAGTGGTAAAGTGCTTGCTTAACATGAATGAAACACAGGTTTAATTCCTCAGTACCATGTAAACAGAAAAAGCAGGAAGTAAAACTATGGATAAGTGGTAGAGTGCTAGCCTTGAGCAAAAGAAGCCTAGGGACAGTGCCCAGGCCCTGAGTTCAAGCCACAGGATTGGCAAAAAATAGACATTCTCTTTTGAAAAATATTAAAACCGAAATTCAAGATTCTAGCTCTCCAGAAAACGTGAATGGAACACAAGGTATGACACTACTAAGCCTCAGTTTCATACATGACTAGAAAATGACTATAAAAGTTCAGTGTGGGAACTCAAGTCAGACCATGAGGTCTAATAAACAACATAATGGGTATTTTTCTCAGTCTTAGTACTTATAAAATGTTCATAACACAAATAATACAACTATTAATATGACCATGATCAATGTAACTGTCAACCAACATTTATACATTAATTTGAATTGTTTTGAGGGTTTTTAAGAAAAAAAAGGCAGAATAATAGATTTTAAACATACTATACCAGGTAAATAGCAGTAAACCAAAATTTATAGCTGACCAGAGAGAGAGAGAGAAAGAGAGAGAGAGAGAAGAAGGGAGAGGGAGAGGGAGAGAAGGTACAACTGTGCGTTGTGCCCCACCAAGAAAGAGTGAGCTTCAAACCTTTGCAGCTTTGGCCTTCTCCAGTTGCTGAAGCTGTTCTAGGGCAGGGCCTGGTGCTGTAGTGTCCAGGGGAAGATCCCACACACTACTGCCTTCCCAAACTGCAAACAAGGGTAAAAATGATGGAAGTGAGAGATCACACTCACAGTACACTGTGGAAAGCCTTTTCTGTGCCTGCACAAGCCATATCATACACATTGGTTGTGTGTGTGTGTGTATATGCACACCAGTCCCAGGTCTTGAGCTCAGGGCCTGGGCAGTAGTAGTACAGCTCTGGATTCTGGTGGTTAATTGGAGGTTAGAGACTCATGGACTTCCCCTGCTTGGGCAGGAAAGGGTTTCAGCCTCCTGAACAGCTAGGATTAAAGTTGTGAGCCACTGGCATCAGGGTTTTTTTTTTTTTGGTGCTGGTCTTGGGGCTTGAACTCAAGAGTTTAGGTGCTGTCCTTGAGCTTTTATGGCTCTAATACTTTGAGCCACAGCTCCACTTGAGGCTTTTTAGAGTTAAGAGTCTCATGGATTTTACTGCCCCAGCTGGTTTCAAATCACATTCCTCAGATTTCAGCCTGATGAGTAGTTAGCTAGGATTCTAAGTGTGAGCTACTAGCACCCAGCATTTTACTTTCTATGTAAAACATATTCTTGCTATGTAGCCCAGGCTGGCATCAACTTCAAGATTTTCCAGCTTCAGCCTCCTTGACATACTGGGAATATAGAGATGTGTCACTCTGCTGCTAAGCTTTCAAGCAGAGTGAACTTTAAGTATGCTGTAGTTCCTACCCATATTAATACATCTAGAAGAAAGGAAATATGAGGCCTTCACTGGGAAACTGATTTCATTGTTAAAAATCCCAGTAACACTTGTTCATATGCTCATCTTCACAGATAAACAAAAATTTCACAATACCAGGATTTAAACCCCAGTGTATTGGAGTGGCTGCTCAACGTAATGTATTAACTGCCACTGTAATTGTTAATTCATTTAAGAATGGTTAAAAACATAAATTCATCCTAATAAGAAGACAGCACACACACTACAGCCAGACTGGGGATGACTCTGGAAAGACTGGCTAGGTCCTACAGAAAACATTTGGTCTGGCTGGCCTAAAAGCAACACAGGATCAGACCAAGAAGTTAACAAATAAAGGCTTCTAAGGACATTTTTCTTTATTTTTTATTTTTATTTTTTAAAGCACACATTCTTGGTTTGGGTGTTTCTTCCTTGTCGATCCTGTGGGTGACTATGAGGCTATTGCTAACATTATCTACCCTCTTTTAATCTTAGTTTCTTTTCTTCTTAGTTTAAGGACATTTTTCTTATTTCCCTTGAACTAGTTTTCAACAGTCTCTATTTTCTAAATTTCTACTATAATCAATTTCTGAACTATTAAATGTTGTCTGAATAAAATTTGTGGCCTGGCACTGGGAGGTCACACCTGTAATCTAGTTACTCAGGAGGCTGAGATCTGAGGATGGAGGTTCAAAACCTGACTGGACATGAAAGTCTGTGAGACTCATCTCCAATTAACCATGAGAAAACTGTAGCAGAACTGTGGCTCAAAGTGGTAGAGCACTAGCCATGAGCAGAAAAGCTTAGGGACAGTGCCTAGTCCCTGAGTTCAAGCCCCATGACCGACCAAAACAAACAAAAATCAAAAATGTATGGACTAGTTTAAGGACCTTGGATTAATATAAGCTCAAAGAAAAATTATTTAATAAAATACTTAAGAATTTCTATAATACTACAGAATATTTTAACATCTTATCTATAAATACCAGGAAAAAATATTTTATACATAGTATGAAAAGTTTCTACAGGAGAACAGTAAGTCCCACTGTAATAACCTTCAGAATCAATGTTAAGAAAACTATAGCTTAGTGGTGCTGTGGCTCAAGTGGTAGAGTGCTTCTTTGAATTGACAGAGCTCAGGGACAGCACCCAGGCCCAGAGTTCAAGCCTCGCAACCAACAAAAAAAACAAAACTAAACTAAACAGAAAACTACAGCTTGTTGGCACAACACCTCAGAAAATTCTGCATTTAAGGTACTTGAGAATCTTCAAACTCAATTATCTCTTCTTAATAACTTCTAAGTTTTCAAAATTTCCAAAGATTAGAAAACAAAGAAAGGTATTCACTTCAAAACAGGCTTTTCTCTTCCTCAAATTATTGACAATCTGTAGTGTTAATTAGCATTATGTCTCAATCTTTAATTCAAAAGAGGTGTGGCTCAAATGGTAGAGCATTAGCTTTGAATGGAAAAAACCAAGCAGGATGTGTTGGCCCAAGTTAGTCCCCAGTACCAGCACAAAAGGAGAGATAACTGTTACTTATGTTTTCACTTCTGCTTCCTCTCACCTCATACCATGACTGAAGAGATAAACAGACTTTTCTATGGCTAGAGGTATGATTCAGTGGTAAATCACTTATCTACCATTCACTCAGACCTTCATTTAATCCCAATACTTCTCCACGTTGCTTTGAGGTAACATTAAAAAAAGAAAGAAGCTGATTCAAAATATTCAATAAATATATAGTAAACAATTTCTAACAAATTTAAAGTACATTTTCAACATATGGATGTAATCTTTTTCTTGGTCTATTAAAATGAAACTTTTTGTTAATATTCAATAAAAATGGATCAAAATCTGATAATTTTCACTTGAATCATAAACTATTATTACAGTCTAAATCCTTGGGCATGTACCAAAAGCAAATCCAAGTTTTTACCTGTGGGTTGTGAAGCAGCTGGCTGAAGCTCCCATATAGAGCCAGTATCTGGCACCGACACAGACCTCGTTACTGAGGGAATCAGGTTCTGATCAGATATTCTGCAAAAGGGGAAAAGAACAAGAATGTGTTCTTGTTACTTGCAAAAACAGGACAAAGAGAATCTCTATATAACTTGTAGGTCACTTTTCCAGATTATTTGGTCAGAAAACTTTCATTATTTTAAATAAAACCTAATACTACCAAAGCAATTAGGAAAGGAGCAAAATTAGAAGCAGTGATCATTGACCAGGACTCAAACTAGCCACCTGATGCTTGCTTTCACTCACTGGCTGGTGCTCTATCACCTGAGCCATGCCTCCAACCCACAAATATTTCTAAATAATGGCCACACATGCTTCTCAAAGAAATCCAGATTATCTCAATAACAGTCATGGCAAAACATGCTGTGATGGAAAAGCCAAAATTTTGTATTTTCTTATTTTCCTCTGGAGTTTTGCTTGTGTTAGGTTAGTCAAGTCCTTGTCTTTAAGAGTCCCAGTTTGTATAACTTTAAAACAGAGGTCTCACCACTATCTATCTACTTGCTACATGGGGTAGAGCTCAAAGGAGAAATGAAAATCACTTTGATTAAATGGAACATTTGGGAGCAGTAACACACATTTCAGGAGCTAAGGCAAATATCCTGAATGATAGTCTGAAACAGCAGAAACAACACTATCACTGAATCTATCTTTTCTGAATATCTACCTTAATGCTTTGAAGATTCCCGAAAAATCACACCTTATGTAGCATTATTAATTTTTTTTTGAGATTAACAGGTAAATAAGAAATTAAACTCTTAGGGTATAATTCTCCTGCTATAGAGCCCATGAGGCTCTAATGCTTCTCAAGTGTTTTTACTACTCTTTGGTTAGTATTCAAAATATATTCTCTAGGCCTGGAGCAGGCAGTTCACGTCTATAATCCTAATTATTCAGGAGGATGAGATCCGAGGATTACAGTTCCAAGCCAGCCTAGGCAGTAAGGACTGTGAGATTCTTATACCCAATTAATCACCAAAAAGCCAGAAGCAGAGGTGTGGCTGAAGTGGTAGAGCACCAGCCTTGAGCCCCGCACGGAAAAAACCAAAAACCTCAGTGACAGTGTCCAGGCCCTGAGTTCATGCCTTATTAGAACTGGCAGATAAAAAGTATCCTCTGTGAGTTAAAATAAACAAATGTCTACCTCTAGCTAAACTATTTTTTTAAGATCATATTGTATGTTACATGTGACTATTTTGATGCTAGAATCCACACATTGTACCAACATTTCTTGTGTCTCTTTTAGGCAGACATACTTGTACACACATACAATGTAGCAACATTATGGAATGACCACCAACCTCATCTTCAGGGCCTGGAATTGCTGGAGAAGAAGAGCTAGCTGTTGCTGATGCTGGGATGGCAAAGCTGCTTTCTGCTGGTGATTCAAAACCTGCGCATACTGTTGTCTTCAAAAAGTTAAGAAAAAAATAGAGGCGTGACATAGAGCTACATTCATTTTATCCGACTGACACAACAAAAAACAAATTTCAGTAAATCACCTCCAAATTAGCACCATTAGAAATAGCAATCAAATGTATCTTATAATTTTTAGAGGACACAGAGACCCCTTACACACACACACACACACACACCCCAAATATAATATGTATGTGTGTATATACATAACATATATATAGATAATGAAGTAAAGGGGCAGGGACTAAAAGGGATAAAGAACCTGAGTGATTCTGCCATCAGTTCACACCATTCCTAACAGGATAAAGTTTAACTTCTTCCCATCCTCTCACTTATGTGTCTTCTCTATACCATTTAGAGTTGAGCCTCTCAACCACTTGGATAGTGGTAAATAGTAGGCTTCTGAAATATCACGGAAGCCTTCAATCTTGCGGTAAAGGTAAGACTTGGTCTATCTCAGGCTCGTTTGGTGCTGCAGATATATACTATTACATTACTACTGCTCTTACTGTATTAAGAACTGCTGATACTGAAGGTGTTGCATGTGGTATAAGGTGCTGAGTTCCTGTTGCCTGGCCAGACGTTCCTGGTCCAATTCCCCCTATTAATAAAGAGGTAGAAAAAGAAACACCATTAAGTAAATGGCAAAGGGCATAAAAGTTACTGGTCTGTTTATCTGAAAGTAAATAAATCTAACACCTTCAACTCCTTTCTACTCAATCCTTTATCCCAAACTAAAAATTCTAACACATTTAGAAACCTAAACAAGCTGGGTGCTAGTGGTTCACACTTGTAATCCTATCTACTCCACAGGCTCAGATTAAGGACTGCAGTTCAAAGCCAGCTTGAGCAGCAAAGTCTAAGACTCTTACCTCTAATTAACCATCAGAAAACTGGAGCCGGGCGCTGGTGGCTCACGCCTGTAGTCCTAGCTACTCAGGAGGCTGAGATCTGAGGATCGCGGTTCAAAGCCAGCCCGGGCAGGAAAGACCGTGAGACTCCTATCTCCAATAAACCACCAAAAAACCGGAAGTGGCGCTGTAGCTCAAGTGGTAGGGCGGTCACCTTGAGCTGAAGAGCTGAGGGACAGCGCTCAGGCCCAGAGTTCAAGCCCCACGACCGACAAAAAAAAAAAAGAAAACTGGAAATGGAATTGTGGCTCAAAGTGGTAGAGCCACAGTCAAAAGAGCTCAGGGGTAGTATCCAGGTCCTGAATTCAAGCCCCACGACTGACAAAACAAAAACAAAACAACCAGGGCTGGGAAGGTGGCTCAGTGGTAGAGCGCTTGCCTTGCATGCCTGAGGCCCTGGGTTCGATGCCTCAGCACTACATAAGCAAAAAGAAAAAAGCTGGAAGTGGCGCTGTGGCTCAAGTGGTAGAGTGTTAGCCTTGAGCTGAAGAGCTGAGGGACAGCGTCCAGGCCCAGAATTCAGGCCCCACGACTGGACCCACCCCCCAAAAAAAAACAACCACAACATACCTCCCCCGCCCCAAAAAAAAGAAAAACAAAAAATCCTAACAATGACATCTAGTGGAGTAATGTGGTTTTGACAGTATAAGAGATTCCCTAAGGCAAGGATGGGAAGGATGGGTCCCTTCCTTATTTAGAGGTTCTTCTCCCATCACGCTGAATTGTGCTCCATCCAGAGACATGACTATAACTGAAAAATGACATATTACACCCAGTCTTAAAAACTGATTTCTAAATTTGGAGATTATGAAAAATTGAGGGAAACAAAACAATACAGAAAACAGTAAAATTACCGGTTAAAGTAAGTATTATGTAAGGAATTTTGCAATGGCATATGATGAAGACAGTAGGCCAGTATATAAATATCTTTAAAATGTTGAGACTATGAAAAGAACTTTGAAAACTGCAACTTTGTAGCAAAAAATCAGGTGTTTCTACTGCTATTACTACATCATAAGTTACAAATAATAACTTGTGGCAAATCCCTGAACTTTTAGCTTGTATTTAAAACATGGTCAGAATTTTTCTTCTGAGAAAGTCAAAATGGAAAAAAGAAATATGAATCATAAGATAACAAAAATAAAAGCATATGGCTAGAACAGACTAAACCTAGGCAAATTATGAGTAAACAGTTGGTATCTTTCGTATATGCTAGTTATAGTTTGAAAGAAAACATTAAGATGATATACATTATTTTAAGGCAGGGATAATCTGAACTTCAGTCACATTTTTTCTTTCTCATTAAACACCATAAAACAGAAGCGACTCTGGGCTGAGCTGAAGCTTCTACATGAAAACTGAAGTTTTGAGGACTATTGATCAGGAGAGTAAACTCTATCAGTGCTACTTAGAGCAAAGCTAGTATTTCTCAAGAGAAGCAGAGCTTCCCAAAGTTTTTCTACTTGAGTAGAGCCTCAATCAGGGCTCAGCTCCTGTAGCACAAGTTGGAAATGGATGGGAGCAAGCAAGATCCAAGTGAGAGCTTTTAGCCCTTGACATATGCAAAATAAAATTTATATCTCAATTTCAGAGAAGAGAAATAAGGCTCAAACTTGGTGTGTAAGTTAAGTCCATAAACAACAATATATAGCATAGTTTTTCTTTAGAATAAAAGAAGTAGGAAAATTCTCTTCATCTATGAATCCGAGTCATGGCAAAGAATGAGGGCCGCTTATGCTTGCCTATAAACTCTCTAGATTACAGAGGCTATGTCTTACTTATCTTCATCTCATTACCACACTCAGAGAGAGCAAGGAAGGGTGATACTGTCCAAAAAGAAATGTATTCCTTTGTTTTGGTTGGTCGTGGGGCTTGAAATCTGGGCCTGGGCTCTGTCCCTGAGCTCTTCAGCTCAAGGCGAGTACTCTACCACTTGAGCCATAGCGCCATTTCCAGTTTTCTGGTGGTTTATTGGAGATAGTGTCTCATGGATTTTGTTGCCCAGGCTGGTTTGAACCATGAACCTCAGATCTCAGCCTCCTGAGTAGAAGAAATATATTCTTTACCTGATATATAACTGTAACACCTCTATACATCACCTTTTAATAATAAACAAACTTAAAAAAAAGAACTTACCACAAAAGACCTCAATATATAATCAATGATAGGCCATCAACTGCAATGTGTGAATCAGAGTTTATACAATGTTTCTGACTAAGGTCACTTTTAACCATGGCCAGTCACTACTTGCTCTAATTTAGAGATGGAAACATGAGATCTCCAAAAAGAATACTAATTAGGAGAGGCTAGTAGCAGCTTCAAGAGAAAAAATTGTCCAGCCAAAGATTCAAGTTCTTGAAACAGCCTCAAGTACTCGTGGCATCTGTTTTAGGGTGAGCTTCAAACTTAAGAACTTTATAAGCCATAAAGAGACAAATGGAGGGGAGAGGATGAAATGCATATTCTAACCAGTGGTAACAGAGGCTGTGTTGAAGAATAGTAAACAAACAAATAAATGCTATAATAAGAGCTTTGATAAATGAATAAAATGAACACTATGACATGGAATGAGCTTTGAAAAGGTAGAACCATAATATCAAATAGGAGTTAGTAGGTAGGTCAGGATAAGGAAAGGTACCAAAGGGGTGTGTTTTTATTGTGTGTGTGTGTTCACATTGCACACATGTGCACATTTGTACACATGTGCCTTCTTGCATTCCTGACTACAGCCAAGTTTTGAAAAGATCATTACAATGACAGGCACCAGTGGCTCATGCCTGTAATACTAGCTACGCAGTAGGCTAAGACATAGGATCATGGTTCAAAGCCAGTCCAGGTAGGACAGTCCCTGAGAATTTTATCTACAATTAGCCAGTTAAAAAGCCAGGAGCTGTAGTTCAAGTGGTAGTGTGCTAGTCTTGAGTCCAGTACTGAGTTCAAGCCCCAGGAAAACCGTGCGCGCACGCACTCGCACTCACACTCACACACACAAAGTCAAAATGTCATTACAGCTCAGTTTCAGTGTCTCACTGAAAGAGAATGAATTAACTTGAATTAATTTCAAATAAACTATGACTGTTTTCTCTGTAGATAAAATTACAAGGTTGTGTTTCAAAGAGTAACAAGTGCTGCTGTATTTAAAAGAAATGCCAGTTGGAAGGTACTTACCATATGAGGAGGGGGAGCTGGACCTGGGGAGAAAGGAACCCTTCCCCACATTTTCATTATGTCACCAAGAGGCTGGAAGCTTTCATCACATGCTCTCTTCACAAGCAAAGACATTGTAAAATAGCCTGCCTGAAACCATTCTGCCATCTCCTGATTATTGAAGGGACCTGTAAGAGAATGAAACAACAGGGCAATAAAATCACAAAGGAAAAAAAAAAGGCTTTTGGGTCTGATCTTTATATAAGATTTTACAGTGTCTTGCCAGGTGCTGCCATCCAAGCTACTCAGGAGGATGGGATATGAGGATCAAGGTTTGAAACTAGCATAGGCAAAAATCTGAGACTCTTATCTCCAATTAACAAGCAAAAGTCTGGAGATAGCAATTGTGGCTCAAGTGACAGAGAATTAGACTTGATTGAAAAAGCTAAGTGAGGGCCTATCGCATTGAATTCAAGCCGTAGTACCAGCAAATACATAGAAAAATTTTACAGTGTCTTAATTTATCTCTGAAGGCAAATTACAACAGAAACAATTACAAACACAAGAGAAATAATATTGGAATAAGTCTTATTTATTGTTTCTTTATTCATTTGCACTGCTGTTATGCAAGTATGCCTATACCCTAGCTACTCAGGAGACTGAGATCTGAGGATCATAGTTTGAAGACAGTCTCTTAAGATTCTTATATACAATAATTACCAGAAAGCAAGAGTGGAGTGGTGGGTCAAGTGGTAGACCAGCAGCCTTGGACACATACACACATATACACAAAACTGGAATCATACAGACTATATTTTTTAAATCACAACAGAAAACAGAATCAAACCACCTATCAACAAAAGATGAAAATCTCCATACACTTGAAAACTAAAAATATTTCACATAATGATTAAAAAGGAAGAAAAATTTCAAATATATACAAATGAATGAAAATATACATCAACTTCTGAAAACAAAGATACTGAGAGAAAAGGTTACAGTATCAAATCCTCACATGAGAAAAGAGGAATCAGTTCTGGGAATGTGACTCAGTGGTAAAGTACTAGACTATTACTCATTTTACACACATACACATATACATATATATATATACACACATTTATATATAATTATTCTTTGATTTAAACAAATAATCTAAGTTTGATTTAAAATGACACATGGAGAAAATAAGAAGCAGAAATCGATAAAATAGAAAATAAAAAGGACTAGAGGTATGGCTCAAGTGGTTTAATGTGCAAGAAAGCCAAAAGATGCACCCATAATATATGTGATTTTTGACAAAGAAGTCCAAGGCCAGCTGGGCAAAGTTAGCATGAGACCCTTTCTGAAAAACAAAAGGACTGGAGACATGGCTCAAATTGTACACACTTGTCCAGCAGCCACAAGACTGTTGTTAAAATTACATAGGGTTAAGAGTGTTGAATGGGGGGAAACAAAGAGGAGGGCACAATGCTTGATAAGAAATGTACTTGTTACCTTACCAATGTAATTGTAACCCCTCTCTATGGTATTTTCACAATAAAAAAAGAAAAAAGAAAACAATTGAGCAGGATGTGTTTTGCTCAGCTGTGTTAGAGCTCCACATGGGACTCATAAAAAAAAAAAAAAAAAAAAAAGGTCTGGCTGCTTCCCCAACAGAAGTTGTCCTCTTGTGAGGACAAGGTCTTCCACACATATAGGACAGAATAAATTAAAAAAAAGAAAAAAACCAAAACAAAAAAAGTGTTGAAAGGGGCTGGGAAGTGGCTCAGCAGTACAGTGCTTGCCTCGCATGCATGAGGCCCTGGGTTCAATTCCTCAGCACCACATACACAGGCAAAGCCAGAAGTGGGCACTGTGGCTCAAGTGGTAGAGCGCTTGCCTTGAACTGAAGAGCTCAGGGACAGTGCCCAGGCCTAGAGTTCAAGCCCCACAACAGACAAAAAAAGAAAAAAGAAAAAAAGAGTGTTGAAAGTGTTTAAGAACATATTAAGTATAAGTATGGAAAAGGTTAATAAGAGAGTGGGAAAGGTTTATAGGAAAGTGGGGCTTATAAAGCCTTAAAAAATATAAATAATAAAATAAATACAATGCTGCTACTTTGAAGATTTTCACCGATTTTAGGGGTCTCTGGAATGTAACTCCTGAGATAAGTGAGGGATCACTGTAAACTTAATCCCCAATGCTGCTAAACAAAACCCAAGTCCAAAATCCCTTGCAAACAGTGACATAAGAATTCTAAATAAAGGGCTGGGAAGATGGCTCAGCGGTAGAGCACTTGCCTTGCATGCATGAGGCCCTGGGTTCGATTCCTCAGCACTACATAAGCAAAAAGAAAAAAGCCGGAAGTGGGAGCTGTGGCTCAAGTGGTAGAGCGCTAGCCTTGAGCTGAAGAGCGGAGGGGCAGCGCTCAGGCCCAGAGTTCAGGCCCCTGGCCGGAACCCCCCCCCCAATAAAAAAAAGAATTCTAAATAAAATAACAAGCAGAAACCAGGAGCATATGAAAAAGATTATACACCTTGACTAAATGAGACTTCTAGAATGCAAGGATGGTTCAATATATGAAGATTTATCAATGTACACCAGACATGGTGATGCATGCCTGTAATTCTAGCCTCAGGAAAGTGAGGTAAGAGTATAACCAGACTATATCACAACAAACCAAAGAGGAGGGTGGAGGTAGAAGGAGAGAGAGGGGAACAGAGAAGAAGGAGGTAAAGACAAGCAAGGGAAAGACAGAGGGAGGGTGGGTGATAACTATATTATAGAATAAAGGAAGAACTACATAATCATTTCAATTGATGCAGAAGAAATGTTGACAAAATTCAACTTTCACTAAAAAAAAATAAGCAGGAATAGATCTATGCTAAAATAGTGAAAGCCTCACAGCAAATATTATATTTAAGGTGAAAAACTGCATGTTTTTCCTCTAACATCAGAACAAAGACAAGCTTTATTCATAATAGGCAACAACTAAACTCACATGGGCAAACTATGACACATTGATACCATCTAATATTACTACTGGTAATAAGTAAACTACTAATATATATATAAGGCATTATGCTAAATACAGCCAATTTCAAATTGTTACATATTGTAACCACCTTTTAAGAAAGGGTCTCCTATGGCTCAGGCTGGCCTGGAACTGTTGATCCTCTTGCCTCAGCCTCCTTAGTGCTGAGATTATAAACTGGCATTAGCATTCCTAGATTGCCATCACTTTTTAATGGTCTGGAAGACTAATGCACAAAGATGAGTAACTTACCACCTCCAACTAGATGTTGGAGCTAAGAAAGAGTATAGCACTGTTAATTTAGTTATCAAATTATTCAAGTATTTTTTTTCTTCCTATTTATAGGAAAGCTTGTTGGCTTCTTTTTCCACTATAGTGCATTTTAACATTAAACAAATCTCCTTCCTAAGACATTTTGGAGGCAATGGCAGACATTGCAGAGTAAAGGAGAAATAACAAATTACCTTGAATTTCTCCCTGAGGATCTTTATAATACCACTTCTGCATTGCTTCATGCATCAATGGAATTGACACTCCTTTAGCTCTATGTTCTTGCAGTTTTGATGCTAGTCTCTCATCGTCTAGTGCACTGTCTTGGAGATAAGCCACCATCTTCTCAGCTTGCTAGGAACAAAAAAATGAAATGTTATCCTAAATTAATATTCAGACATGTAATAATAATGGCCACTTCTTAAGACTACTTTCTTTATGAAAGGCACTATCTAAGGCACACAGCATGTAACAATTTAACTATCTCAAAAAATAACACAAAATAGACAGTGAGAGAACCTATTATACACAAAGACAAAACTAGAGTCAAAGGTGTTCGAGTTTTCAGCAAGGTCTCAAAACAATTAAGCAAACTGAGATTGAAATGCAAACTATTTATGGATATAAACCCAGACTTCTAATAATACATTAACAAGCTTCTAAATCATTAAGCTGCTGGTCAACTCTAAATAGTCTAAACAAACCCTTATGTTTAGGCAGAATGGTTAATAGAACAAGAGCCTCAACAAACACAATTACAAATAAAGTCTTTAATAAGTTTTAGTAACATAATACCCCTTACTATTCTTCAACATATCCTGATTCTAACCATCTTATCCCATAGGCAAGAGAAATTCTTTTGTATAAAATCAAGCTACCACACCAAAAAAAAGGGCAAGCTATCATTATTTTACCTGTAACAATGCTATATATTAGAGAAATCTAGAGACATTAGTAACCTTATAACTATTCTCCCTGCTGTACTTTAGGCAAAAACACAACAAATACAACAACAACAACAAAAAACCCTCAGAAAAGTTATCATCCACAGCTGCTGTCTTCACCATTTTTGGCATTCCTTAATGTCCAAAAGAAAAAAGAAAACAGCTAAGGGCAATCTCAGAAGAGCAAAAAATAACCTGACAAAATGGCTACTACATAGCAGAAACTTATAAGCATGAAATTATTTGAAAGACAATTACTCACAAAAATACTAAATAACCCAACCTTTAGAGAACTTAAAATCTAGTGTATAAAAGTACTTTATTTGAATATTCAATAAAGCCTTTCCAATTTTTTACGGCAGTTTGGACAGAGACAAGAATGAATGTGATTACCTGTTCCAAGTGTTTGAGACCCTCTTCATCATCTGGCTCTGTAGAAACACTGCCCATACCAGGAGCGCCAACAACAGGTTGCTCAACTGGCTGCAGGGCAGGACTAGGAGTGGAAACAGGAGGTGGAAGGATGAGAAGAGGAGAAGCTGTGTCTGAAGGGAGCTGTGTCAGGGGCTGCTGGACATCAGGAACCATTTCTAAAGGGAAAGAAGTTACACTGATAATCTTTGCAAAGACGTAGACTCTAAGAAGGCTAACTTTAGGGCTGGGAAAGTGGCTCAGTGGTAGAATGCTTGCCTCACATGCAATGAGGCCCTGGGTTTGATTCCTCAGGATCACATAAGCAGAAAAAACCGGAAGTGGGGCTGTGCTCAAGTGGTAGGGAGCTAACCTTGAGCCGAAAAGCTGAGGGACAGAGCCCCGTTCCAGAGAGTTCAGGCTCCACGACCAAAAAAAAAAAAAAAAAAAAAAAAAGGCTAACTTTACATTATTAAGGTGGGCAGCTGCTAAAACTAAGCCCAACTGAAATGTGTACTCTGCCATGAACACTGAAGCCACTCCTTGAGAAGTGTAATATTTTCTCTCTAAGAATCACAGCATTATGTCCACAGAAGAACAAAGGTGAGTTTTTCTACAAGATCTTTGTATAACACAGAGTATCTGCCCAACAGTTACAGGCAGATCCCTTGGCAAGGGAGTCAACTTCATCTGGGCCTGGGAGCTGTCCCTCAGCTCTTCAGCTCAAGGCTAGCGCGCTACCATGTGAGCCATAGCACCATTTCTGTTTTTTTTTTCTCTGCTTATATGGTGCTGAGGAATCAAACCCAGGGCCTCATGCATGCAAGGCAAGCGCTCTACCACTGAGCCACCTTCTCAGCCCCTGGATTCTTAATTAACTGTCTTTACTATTTCCAAATTAATCAAAGACTCCTAATTATCTCTCAAGTCTGTCATATCTCATATAAACCTTTATTGAAAATGTATACAATAATCCTACATAATTACCTATTCAGAATCATAATTAGAACAATTCAATACATTACATGCTTTATTTATGCTCTCTGAACAGTGAAGGATGCTTTTCTCAGTAACGATAAAAATTGGAAAAGCAGCTATCTTGATTCCTAGTTCTAATCACTTGGTATGAGGGCACTTAAGGAGGGTAGAAGTGGGGAGGCAGAAGTAACTGGATACAATTACAGCTTCTCCTCTGAAGGCTTTGTTCTGTTAGAAATAGCCTCTCCAAATTCTTCTTCTCCTTACTCTGTATCGGGCTTTAATGAACAGTATCCACTTTACTACTACCTAACTGCCCAGTGACCTATACTTCCCAACTCTCTCAAAGATGTGCAGTAAAGTGACGCAAAGCAGCCAAATTCAGTGACTCTTTCTCATCCTCATGATCCAGTCTCTTTGCACGTCAGGTGTTATTAATCCAGTTCTAAAATGACTTCTCCTTTCTCAATTTCTATGCACTCTACTCTCCTGGCTTGTACTATTTGTCTCTGATGATTTCTGTTTTCCCTTCCCCTCCCCACATCTAAAACTGAATTACCTATTATTCTAGTCACAGTCTTTTTTCCTAATCTTTACCAAGTGTACGTAATTATTTGTTTTATTTGTTGAAACAGGATCTTACAATGTATAGGCTGGCCTCAAACTTTTTAAATTCACCCATCTTAGCTTCCTGAGAGTTAGGATTACAGGTATGTGCCACCTAGACCTTAACTACTACTTGTCCCTTATTTACAACTGTCCTCTGGCTATCACTACTTAATTTCTTATTAATACTTCAGAGTAAACATTCAAAACTGAATTTATTTCTCCTCTCCCACTGGGCACCTCAATGAATCCTGAGAACAGCACCATAATCCTCTCAAATACCTCAGTCATCTTTGACTCTTCTCTACCCTGATATACAATAAATAACAGTCAATTACTAGGCCTTGCCAATTTCAACTTTGAAATCTCATGTGCCACTACCTCACTTTACCAGTGCTCTGCCTATCTTATGATTGCTAAGAAGTCTAACAGGACAGAGTATAGTTCATCACAAGATACCCTAACACACAGCCATCTAATCTAAGTTGCAACCTACTTCCCATAAGCTTCTTTTTGATACCTCCCATCCCATTTAAATAAGTCCAGGAATTGATTCTTGCCAGTGCCTTGATTACTTCCTCACTTTATTCTTACTGCTTTCTGGTACAGCAATGTTCTCTCATAATTCTACTTATTATTCTATGGTATGTTCAAAGACTATTTGCTTCCCAAAGCATACCAACTATATGCCAATAGTCAACTATCATTATTTTTGTCCTGGGTTACTGATACATTCACAACTCAACACCCTACAGAATGTCAGCCTTGTAAGCATATTTATGAAGCTGTCTCAAAATATACATGTCTAGATGAGATTCTGAGATTCTGAAACTTCCTAGAATAAGACTTTCAGGCATGTCAAGAACGTTCACTGAAAGCACTTCTGAGGCACAACGTAACTGAGAAGCAACTACTATGAGTCAAGGAGATCTCAAGATGTACAGTTCACACAGTGCCTGATATGTAGAAAGGCAAATACATGCTTGCTTGCTTCATTTGTTCATTCATCCATTCAACTGTGTTCTAAACATAAAAAAACTAAAGAAATTCTTGGTTCAAGTCTTCAACATTGTCCATTGGGGAAAACAATCATTCTTTGTCATAGTGTAAGAAACTGTTGGTTGTTAAAAAGACTGAAACTCTATGAAGGGACACAGATGCAAGATCATACGAGGCATCTCAAGGTGTACATTTTTACGGTGAATTTATCACTTAACCTTTTAATACTAAGTGTTACGACATCTGAAGCATTATATGCGTGCATGTAAATGTTACGATGAAACCCACAAAAATGTACTCATCCCCAAACAACAAGAAATAAACAGTATGTGGCCTGAAAAAGAGTTCAGAAGGAGGAAGAGGAGCTATATAATACCATAAGCTTATTTTGTACCAAAGGTGACTGACTTCTAGATTCATCTATGTATTCTTTTGAAACAACGGCATTTTAGTGTGATGACAGGCACAGAAGTACCAAAGGAGTTAACTGTCAGGGGAGTCAAACCAATGCAGAGGATCCAATCTGAGCCTTCAGAGGCTGTCAAGACCTTAGGAAGTGAGAATCTAGAACCATGTCCTTGCATATTCTAACTCTGATATGGTGAATTCTAAGAAAGATACATATGTGCTTGACTGAGGTTACTGGTAAAATAATCGATTCCCAAAACTGACCCCCAAGAGACATAAACCTGTGACTTTAGCTTGTCTACTCTCATAGATACATACCATCCCCTCTGCTGGGCACTTTGGCTGGTAAACTGTTTTCTGTCCGACTCTCCTCTTCAGCTTTTTCTATCTGTTCCGTTTTTGGTTCATCTTTCCTCTCACACTGTGGTGCTTCCTGAGGCTTATGGTCTGAAGGAGACCCTGGTCTAGCAGATGAAGTTTGGGGTGTTTCCTCACTGGCTTCTGGAACACAAGTAATCTCAAAATCAATTCAGCAAAGTTTGGGTTTGATGAGGGGAAAAAAGGTAAAAAGACAAAATGAGTCTTACCAACTGCTATTCTGTCTGTTTTCTCTCCATCTTTCTTATTTGTCTTATCAGGTTCTTTGGCCTCTTCATTATGGCTACCCTCAGAATCAGAGCACTCCTCCCCTTCCTCCACAGGCCGGAAGTCCATCTCCTGCTCTTCAGGAATAGGCTCTTTCTGTACTTTCTGTAACAATAAATTAAAACTGAAGGTCGACAACATATTTGGCTTTGGTACAATGTCAGTGCCTGTCCTGACATTTAAATAAATTTCTTGCCAGGCACCAGCAGCTCATACTTGTAATCCCAGCTACTCAGGAGGCTAAGATTTAAGGAGCAAGAGTCAAAGCCTGCCTAACCAGACAAATCCAAAAGACTCTTATTGCCAGTTAACCAGCAAAAAGCCGCAAGTGGAGTTGAGGCACAAGTGATAGGGCGCCAGCCTTGGGCAACAAAGGCAGATAAGAGCATAACACCTAGAACCAGCACAAACAAAACAAAGTAAAAATAAAAACAAACTCCTTACTTTTAGAGAAAGGAATGCTCCAGATGAATCAAATGTACCCATTTCTTCTTCAGCATCCTCTAAGCACCATTCCGGTAAGCTATCCCTGTCATCATCCATGCTCCCACTGCCAGAGCGCACCCTTCGATAACCCCGCTCATCATCTCGATCTCGAAAATCAAACTCAAACCTCCGACGGCGTTCCATGTGCTCCCGCCAGCCTGAAGAGCGAGGGCCATCTGAGGTGAGAGAGGACATAAATGTTAGAAAAGTTTTATAATACTATTTGAAAAATAAAATTATGGAAACTTCATCGATAAGATATCCAAATGGGCCAATCCACCTAAAGAGAAAAATTAAGGAAGGTGAATGAAACCCAGAGTTCATAGTATACATACCATCACTAAGTGACAGCAACATTTAAAGTATTGCCATGCCACATCCTCAAAGCAGAAAAAGTAAAGCAATTAGCCACACATGTATTCTACTCCTAGCCAAGACAAACATTTAGTATCTTCAGAAACTAAAATTTAAGCCTTCCCTTTGTCAGATATTAAGGAACTTTGTTCCCATGAAAATATTACTCTATATGGATAAGACTAGCTTCCTTTATCAATTCATAATATCAAACACACTTTGTCTACTTACTAGTACCAACTTTGCTCTTGTAATTTTGATTCCCAACAAACGGTATGGAATTCTAGCAGCTTATATGTTGGAAGAGATATATGACTCACTATCCTAATTTTATTGATTAAGTAGAAACTCAAAATTTAACAGCAGATATAACTGGCACAATGACAAAGCAAAGTTGAATCCAATTCTACATTCTCTGCTGCTTTTTCCACAATAACATGCCTGCTATTCTTTTCCCTTTTCTCATCTTTTAATTCTCCTTTCTGTGTAACACCCTCAGGGGCATTCCTAAATCTAAGCTAGCATACTATTTATTGCAGCTACTTTCCATCAGAAAAAGACTGCCTAAGATAGCTATTAAGCTATTTTATTTAAAAAGAAATTCTTGTTAAAATCTGTCAAATCTAAGAATAAAACATTCTTAAAAAGAAAGGAAAGTTTTAACCTATGAGAATTTTCTATTTATGACTGCTTACTCCGCTGGGAGATATACAAATAAATAATGAAAAAGTGAAATGGTCTTACTATTGAAACCCAATTTGCTAGAGCCAGCAATCTAAAGAACAAAGGAGCAAAACAGTATGATGCCAAATCCTAGTAGCATCTCATAAGATACAAAAAGATATTAATCTCACATTTCATACTTCTATTTACAACAAAACACTATTTACTATCATCTATGAGACTCGAGAAATTTTATTGTATGCAGATTATTTAAATATAAACCTACAACTATTACTTGAAAGCAATCTTGAAGTCAAATGTTGAATTCCAAAGTTCTCTGTCTACACCTATCATTTCTAAACAGCCTAAGTATGTACTGTGATAGGAATCTATCCTTCTAGACCCCCCACCCCCACCCCGGCTCCTATTTCCCTCTACTTGAGTTTCCTAAATTCAGCTTCCAGAGTGGATGTTTCACTGTCCTCCATGATCTATCTCCAGCCATAAGCCCGACTTTAATAAAACTACATCCCATAATTCTGTTGCTATCTTACCAAGAGCTAATAAAATATTAGTCATGAAACTAAAAAGCAGCAGGCAAGGCAGACAGCTTATTAAGGCTTAACATTGCTTTACAGACATTACATCTAAGCTTAAGACATTATTTTCATAAATTAGTCAAAACAACTGTATTTCATATTCTACTAATATTCTAACAAAAGATTATAACTTAAGGGTTAACCTATAACTGATGTAATCAAACTAAACCTTCAGTATGCTACATTAAAAAGTAAATCGCTTTCTGCTTTTAAAAATGCGCCTAGTTTAGACTCTTTAGACTCTCCAAAATGTATGTTAAAAATATATGGATAAAAAGTTTTGGAAAACTGTCAAGTTGATGGCAAAATATTAAAGTCAAATTAAGGAAAAGGGTTCTAAAAATATGAGAAAGACAATCCATATCTAAATTGTAGGTGGGCTGCGGTGGGCAACAGTAGAACATTAAAATTGTACTTGTTTAACTGCTTTTAATAGAATCAACATCACACATTTGGTCTTAGAAACATTGTTCATCTTCCAAAACATTCACCTTGTTTGTTTTTGACTAGCTGGAATTTCTCTTCTTCTTGCTCAGCCCAAATCTGGTCCATTCTTCACTGAAGGCTTGTTGGGAACATAGTCTACAATCCCTTCTGCTTACAGGCAAGCTCAGCACAAAATGCTGCAATGTCTTGAAGAGAACTATACCATTTGGTTGCCCAGGACACAGATTGATGAAAACTGCCTAGATCCTATGACGTAAACAATGCCTACTAATGACTGAAAATTTGCGCAAGAGGCAACCACAAAGACTTAGTGTAAATGCATCATAACTTTACTCAAAGACTAACTTTTGTATATTTCTACCTACCTACAACTCCATAAAATAGTCTGGATACCTATCATAATGTTTCCTAAGACATAGGCTACTGGTTTGGCTAAAACTTAATTTTAAAAGTAAAAGAAAATTACACCATAGTTTCCTCTATTAAAAGTAATCTTATCTGGCATATGGCTTATAGAAAATATCATTAGGTACATAAAACTCAATGTATGCACATACACTGACCCCTCAGCACGAGCCACAGTTGCATCTGATTACCATGAGGCAAGGGATCAGTACTGTGGTCGAGAATGAACTTTAACACAAAGCACCAGTGTCTTCAATTACCAGCGTATCTAATGTCTAAGAAGAACAGTTTGAAGCATTCTTAAGAGTCCAACAGAAGAATCTAAAACACTACTAATCACTATTATTCTGTCTCCCTTTTCAAAAGTCAAAAGAACAAACTTGTGATTATGTCTCTGACCTGGGTTTAAAGTTCATTCTTCAAATAAATATAAATGACATTTTCAGAAAGAAAAAAAATGTAGAAGAAAAAAATCCTTTCTTATTCAGGAAAAATACTAATAGAGAGATTATATTCTCAAATGTACAGTTATATACTTAGGGTTTTTTTCCCCCAACACTCGAATACTATAAATTTTAAACAATGCTAAAGATGGTTTAAAAGATTCAGAGTTAGACAAAACTGAATAAAACTATCATTTTTTTCTGGGTTGCAGACAGGTGCTTCTACTAAACTGTATTATATGTCTCAGGAAAATAAAGTGATTTCAAACAACTGAATGTATTATGTATTGAGGAGTTGTTTCTTGAATTTTTTTCACAGTTCACAGTAGGCTGAGTATACTGGCATAATAATACTGGCATAAATAATTTTTTTTAAAACAATTTGCATTTGCCTTTTTTTTGGTCAGTCATGGGGCTTGAACTCTGGCCCTGGGTGCTGTCCCTCAGCTCTTCAGCTCAGGACTAGTGCTCTACCACTTGAAGCACAGCGCCATTTCTGGTTTTCTGGTGGTTTATTGGAGATGAGTCTCACACACTTTTCCTGCCTGGGCTGGCTTTGAACCGTGATCCTCAGATCTCAGCTTCCTGAGTAGCTAGGATTACAGGTGTGAACCACAGGTACCCACCTGCACTTTCCTTTTAATCCTAAACATTTTCACCAAACTCCCCCTTCTTTCAGTTCCTGTGTGCTTTATAACACAACACTTACCAGGGCTGTGGGGCCGCCACCGCTCTCCATCCCTTCTTGATCCAGCTAATCTCCAGCCTCCATCTTCATCTTCTCCATTTTGTTCCTCTCTAAAAATTCTCCAATTTTCACTTTCTGACCGTATAAATTCATGCTTTCTCCCCACTGATGTTGGTCCACTTTCCTCAAAATTTGGTCTCACTATAACAAAACAAGAAAATGGCATAGTTACCGTAACATAAATAACATAAGCCCTGAACAAATATGAACAAATATGCCAGCTCACAGTAAGCTTTCCTCAAGCCTTCCCATTTTAATGTTCATGAAGTATGAATAAAATAAGTGTGGTTGGGATGGGAATGCGACAGTGGTAGAGTGCTTGCTAAGGATGCACTGAAGCCTTGGGTTTGATTCCTCAGCACCATATAAACAGAAAAGGCTGGAAGTGGCACTGTGGCTCAAATGGTAGAGTGCTAGCCTTGAGCAAAAGAAAAAAGCTCAGTGATAGTGCCCAAGCCCTGAGTTCAAGCTCCAAGTCTAACCCTTCATCCCCCCCAAAAAAGTTTGGTTATCTTAAAGCTGAATTATCATAGACAAGGAAATTTAAAACACACACACACACACACACACACACACACACACACACACACAC